TGGTTGAGCTGATGAATACCTGGCTTCTCTTTTCAGACACTAATAATTTTCTGAGTCATTTCATTTTTAAATTCACCTAAAAATAAAAACACAAAGGAAAAGTCATTCCTCTCTCCTTCCCGAGATACCACCTTGCGACTTTGCTTGGACTCTTTCCTTAGAATCTGACCTGCAGATAACTGCTTGTAGGACTGTTCTGTCCCGGTCTAGATAACTAGGGAGAAGCTGCCATTCACAAGGGCTAATAAAGGCTTTTTCTGCAACCAAAGGAGGTAGGTGGAGCGGGGCACTGAAAGTTAAACTCTTCTCTCCCCTGCCTAGAGAGATTGATCTCCTCATTTAATTTAAGAAGGCCTCTGTTGCTCGGGGATAGTGGTCAGACCAAGTTGCTTTCATTGGCTAGAGTGCCAGGGAAAACCCAGTGAAGCATCACAAATACACCCATGGCAGAGCATGTTTGTCCTCCCCTACAAGGAGGAGGAGGCTGCCTACTCTGCATGTGTAGTGGACAAACTGTCCATGCCCCATGCTAACAACTTCAGCTGTAAATTTTGATAGGCGTCTTATCTCCTGCTGCTTTCTGTATGTTAGGTTTTCTTTATCACCTTTCCTTGCCGGTCTTCTCTTTCTTTTGCTCTTTTTCTCCTCCCCTTTCTTCTTTCCTTTCTTTCACTGTTTACTGATAATATCACCTGTTTCTCTCTCACTGGGTCTCCTATATTTCTTGTTTTCTTTTCCACTCAATTCTGTTCACCTTTTTGCTTTTTCCTCCCATCCCACTACTCTTTTCTCACCTTGGTTTCCCCATGTCATTTTCCAAAACAAGTAAAGACCGTCAAGAGGCTTTTTGCTCTGCTTTGTCATGGGGGAACACCGGTGCTCATCCTCCCAGAACTTTTGAGGGGAATTTCAATTATTTGAATACTAATTCCAAAAATCTGTTTTAGCTTCCCCTTCTGAACTGTTTCACAGCTACCAAGGTGTTTCAGGAGCCTATTTAGGATAGCCATAGTAAGAGAAAATCAAGGTAGACCAAGCCATAGATTACAGTCATGAACTAGAAGTCAAAGAAGATCCTTCTGAAAGACAAACCAATGCAGGTGAAGTCTTGCTAAGTGGTGGTTTTGGACTTACAGCAAGGAGCTAAAATTTTGGTGAGTCACTATTATTAAGTGACAGAAAAAATCATAAGAAAAGGTTCAGGGGGAGGAGGGAAATCTGTGCAGCTCCCTGAGATCACAAACACCAACCCCCTCTTCTGATCAGCTAAAGGTATTCCAAATGTTTTATGGGGCCTGTGGACCTTATAGCTGCTGGTGCTTCATCCTCTCTCTTTTTCCTGTTCTGAAACAAGGGAGAATCAGTTGTGGCTTCCAGGCTTCTTCTCACTGAGAAAGCTCAACATGCAGGGAGCTCTTGCTACAACTCACAGAGCAGAAAGCAACGGCATTCAGTAGAACTAGGAACGTCCATTAAGAAAATCATGTTACTTTCCTTTCTAGCCCACCCTTAGGAGATGAACGTAGGAGCAAGATGCAGCTTTAGAGCTCTGATGCTGGGAACTTGAAATGAGCAGGGCATAGGCTCTAGATACCTGCCCAGGTCTTGCTTGAATAAGCTCTTCAAGTTTATTCTGCTGCTCAGCAAGGCAAGAGGTTTTGGCACCATCCTCTGGCATCTACTGGCCTTCCTCTGCTGAGATTCCATGCAGAGGAACCAGTTCTCATTCTTAGACAACATGATTTACCATTTTAAAAAGGGCAGGAATTACACTGCTGCAGTGAACCAACTGTTCTGAATTTTCATGCTCTTTATACTTAGACAGCTAAGGAAAGATTATTTACTGGTGTAATAACTAGAACCTGCTAAGAACAACACTAGAACAGCAGAAAAAAATCAAAACTCTACTGAATTACAAGAATGTTGTTACTGAGTAGACATTTTTTCCATGGACATCATGAAAACTTTTCTTCTTTACATGATCTATTTATGCAATAGCATCAAATAATGCATGTGCATTATTTTCAGAATTAGGAGGTTGCCAAGAACGCGAAATATTCAAAGGAACGTTTTCTAGAAAGATCGTTTGTATTTTGAAGGAGTGAGAGAGGTTTTCCCATCTCCCTAAAACATCTTGCACTTGCACGGTCTCTGCATAATTAACAGCTCTGCAGAACTGGGAAAGTGCTCAGCGTGTGGAAAGGAACTTAACTAAAATAATAAAAGTAACATAACTCTGCTATCAGAGAAAGAGAGACCTTGTAACTGGATGTCTCATATCAAAGTACCAGCTTCTATGTCAGACACGCAGCTGGCTCATTTAGTACCATTAGGTAAGCTGTTTACCTTCCACGTCATACATATCAAACATGAGTCGTGACCTAGAATCACCCAGTGCTGAGCACTGCTTGAACACCCTGCTCAGAAAGAGAAGCACAAGAGTGCTTTTACATCCTCGCTACCTTCCAAATTTTGCTACTAACGTATTATCAGAGAGTTACCAGATATCTTAAAGATTATCCTGAAAAAGAAGCAGCCAAAACTCAAAGTGGGTTCTTCTCTGTTCCCTAAAGGAGACTTGACATTACGCAAGTCACCTAACAACAGAGAATAGAAGTCTGGAGCTACAGAAGAGCTGACACAAAAGAGCAAGGCAGATTTTCTCTCTAAGCTGCTGGCCGTTGAAATACGGATACAAATCAGAGGGAACTCTACTACTGCCAAGTCAAGCAACCTGGGGGGATAGGAGTACAATATGATCTCCAAATCTGGCATTATACAGAATCACTGAAGGATGAACAAAAGAACGTATTAAAGAAAATGCTAGAGTCAGAGATTCTTACCTCAAAGCTTTCTCTCCGTTTACCTGCTGACCACATGTGGGGAATTACAGATTTCTCAAACGTCAAGTTGAAAATCTGTGATATTAAAAAGAAATAATAATAATAATAAATTTTATTTCTGAACCTTTAAGGCTTTTCTCATCTCATTTTCCACCATAAGAGCTACAAACAGAATCCTTGAAAAATCGCATATGACTGAGTAGGCCAATTCCGTACAGCTCAGCAGAAAATCAGCCTTTTGTAATCACATATGAATCAGAGCATTTGTAAAACAAATAAAAATATTTTAAAATAACTAATTTTTCTGACAAATTTCTCTCAACTAACATTTCACCTACTATAGAATAGACTTTTATGAAGTTAGGCATCTTCAACAAAACATCAAAAAAGTGAATTGCTAAGGAAAGACAAAAATGAGTTTAAAAGGGTAAAGTGTTTTTTCTGCAATTATACTTCAGGAAAAGCAGATTCTCAAAGACAAATTAAAAGGAAAAAGAATGAATTCCATGAATTTAGGCATAAGAAAGATAAGAGTTTACAGACATAGAATGCAATACAATCAGTCAGGTGAGTTTGCTTTAATTCATCCTGAAAACATTATTTAAAATTGCATACCTCTCATAAGGTAAAATTGTTTTAGATAAAAGACGCCATAGGCACATCCTAACATAAAGCTAAGTTACAAATATATACCAGGTGTAAGTATGAATACATTGAAACTCAAATTTTGTTGCTTACCTCAATAAAGTGACTGCATTTATGACGGCAGTTTATAGTTCCTCAGTAAAATCAAGGGAAAGGGTCTCCCAAGTCTGTGACATTGCCTTGCACCACAGGAGGAAAGCAGACAGCTGTATTCCTTCATTTGTTTTGTGAGTTTTGAGTTTTTGTGGGTCACAGTTTAAAATCCTGCAATTACAAGGCCTAGAAATGGTACCAGTGCCTCCTTCCCACCAAATAAAGCCAATGAGGATTACGGAAAAAGCCAGTGTTGCTTGAGAAAAATAAAACATCAAGAGCGTAGGCAATATTATTTCCTTCCTATTTCTGTTAGCAGTACTAGCCACAGAGGTTTCTAGCAGAGCTGTTAACATTAGCATTTGAGGTAGCTCCTTACCAAAGCTCCCAGATGTCACTACTGAAACCTGGTGGCATCCAGGACTCTACCTCCAAGTGAGCTCCTGTCAACCCAGTCCTGGAATTGGACTGAAAATCACCCTTTTTCCACTCAGCTGCTTTTTAGTAGATAGGAAGGGAACAAACTGCCAGTTAACGAAACCAAAGCCAGCCAGAATTGCACGCTGCTGTGGTGCGACGGGAAAGGTGGCAGAAAGACAGGTGCTGAGCCACAGCCCAACAAGAACACGTCACTGACCATACTTTGCTTTTCTCAAGGGGCTCTGACCTCCTCCTCTTCTCGGCATCAGGTCAAGTGACAGCAAGACCTGTGAGCTGTGCCTCCCCTTTCCACCCTCCCACCGCAGCAGCAGGTGCAGAGGAGCACGAAGGTCCCAGGCCTGCATGCTCGCAGGCGTGACACCGGAGCAGAGGCCACTTGGCAGGACGAGTTGTGGCCACAGTCACACCAAGTATCGGCCTGGGGTTCTCCAGCTGGATTTTTGTCAGGCTTTCTTTCTTTCTTTTTTTAAGACTCCAATCCCATCCTGTTTGGTTTGGTGATGTCTGGTGTGTTTTTAAGTAAATCCACCAAAACAAGGGCTATTCCAGAATGGAATGGTTTTGTTTTAAGTTGTTTTACAGTAGCGATCTGCAAAAATGCTTATTTATTGTCCATTCTTCCTTCTCATTTTCTACAACCCAGCAGACTCTCTGTTATTTTGGCCACAGGCACTCGATCTATCAGAATTACAGAGACAATCACAGAAGTGTGATTCAGGAGAAAAATAGGAGAAAGCCAGAGAAAGGTAAAAGGTGTATCATTTCAGTGTGTATCTCCATCACAGCCTGATGCCCTTTCCGTTTCAGAACAGAAGAGATTGGTGCAAGCCATCTGGTTTAACAGCATCATTTCATGCAATAACTTGGCACCTCCCATATTCCTGTACTGTTCCTTCCAAAACTGCAGAACAGCAGCAGGGGAGAAAGAGAGCTGCTACAGCTGTTCAGGAATGTAATGTGCCATGTTTTTCATTCCAGCTCATCCTTGCCACGTGGGAAGGAGGCTACAACTTACAGTGTCAGAACCTCCACAGCGCGGGGGAAGCTGACATCCGGGTGAGACACGGCAGCAGCCCTGCCCTCTGCGGGCTTGGTGCAACACCTCTGCTTTCGTACCGGTTATAAAGATGCCATCAGTGACACCTTTAACATGAGGCTTTTAAAGGGGTTGTCTGATAGCTGGTAGCCAATGGGAAATATTAGTTTTTTGATTCTGTACAGATGCATCCTTTCTACAGAAAACGTAACAGGGAATAGTTTTAAAAGCAGTGTATCCAGATTTGTGATCAAAATAGTGTTCCATGACTATGGAAAAGTTCTGACTAACAGAACATATGAGTCATTTAAGAACTTGTGAGAAAAATCAATAATGTAAACTGTAACATCTATTGAGCTTTAGCTGGAAATGGATGCAAGCCCAACTCTAAACTTTGAAACTTTTCAGCACCATTTTGCTGTCTTGGCTTATCTTTGTTTCAAGCCTTATTTCTGCACCTTAGCAATGCTGTGTATTAACCATCTGTTTTTCCCTACTTTGGTCCTGGAGCTCAGGGCAGAAAGACTAGATAAATCATAATTTCCCCTACCACCACCCCTACCAAATTCATGTTTTGGCAAGTACAGAGTCAATTAAATACATCGTCCTATCAGCAAGATGTTTTCCACCTTTTTATTTTAACTGTCCGTAAACCTTCTGCTCATCATCGTCATAGTGCTCTGCATCATCAAGGGTGGCTACAGGCTACGTACAGACAGTCATGCATTCGCATTGCCCTTGGTCTAAGCTGCTTGAGTGCTGGCAGAGCAAGTATTGTCTTCTTCTAGCTCAGCAGATGCATATTATGATGCCCTATGTAATACTCGGGGCTCTGCAGAATTATAACGTCCTAGGACATATCTTGAGCTCTGATAAACTGTTTCAGCTCTAGAAAGACACAATGGTTTGTTCCATTGTGTTGAGTTTCAAAACTGAATTATTTAAAAAAAAGCAGCTGCTAGCATAATCTATTCAGTGACAAAAAGCTGTACATAGCAGCACCCTTAAAAAACTGTATCTTTGATAATAAATTATTAGAATAATTAGAAGAGCCTTGCTCAAAGTTTATAATATGTTTCTTAAATCATCGCTGTTTAGAAACCACAAAAAGTGACGAATTCTCTCTAAATTGCCTCATTCTTAAAGAGAAAAACATTGAAGCCAGAACTTGTGCTCCTCCTTCAAAAGAATATTGATATCTGGTGGGGAGTTTTGTGGTTAAGGGCTGATGAGGAACAGCAGTATTTAAGCCCTTTTATAAACAGATAATGATCTCCTGCTCCTTTGTTCTTACAGGTAGCCAAGGTGCTGTGGTGGTATTATTTTTCCAAAGTAATTGAATTCATGGACACTATCTTCTTTGTACTGAGAAAGAAAAGCAGCCAGATCACCTTCCTTCACGTGTATCACCATGCCACTATGTTTAACATTTGGTGGTGTGTTCTGAATTGGATACCTTGTGGTCAAAGTAAGTCTTTACTTCATTACCTGGGATACAAATCACCTGCTGCTAAAGGGGAGTCACATCACCATGCAGAGCAAACGTGTGAATGTCCTCTGTGACAACGTTACCTGGGTTCAAAGCATATCTTTCAGAACCACTGAACGCTTGCAAATCTCAGTAAAACTAAAAACATACGTAAAAGTTCAGGGAGAAAATAATTCTGAATGTTAGCCCCTAGATTATCGCTCAGCCCCCTCACCTGCCACAATCGCTCATGTTTGCTTTTCTCCAAACCACTTTTAGACAGGATAACACTACTGAGTAACATGCAAAAGAGTGAACACATCTCCAAAAACAGATGTAGAATGAAATTGTGACCTTAGTCAATGCCAATTACAAAAAATGAATTTGCATTTTTACAGATTTGAGTCATATATGCATCAGTCTCGCATTCTGCTTTAATTAGATATTTTACCTACATAATCACCAACTAAAATATCAGTCGGGTTAGTTTCTTCTATGAATAAAATAGCTGACTAGTGGCATAAGAAAGAAAAAAATGCAGGTTACTACAATATCAGGGATTGTTTTAGCAGTTAATAGCACATATCATTATGCAGTGAAGACTCTTTAAAAGTTACCTAAATTTATAAAAATCTATAGAGAATGTTTATGTTTGCGTAAAACCAACCTGAGGACACGTACAAGGCAGCAGGTCAAACTGTATCAGCACTGCCTCCAAGCAAGCATACAGCAAAAAACAAAGCTACTGCCTGAACTCTGAACAGGACAGCCAGGTCTAACGAATACCACCCTACATTTTGCACTGAAATAGTAGAATTAGCAGCTGCCTTTAGCTCCTCAAACCTTGCGTCCAATATATTTCACAATAATTACTAGACCGCTTTCATCTTAATGGGATATTGGAACTATCTTCATCTCCTCTGCTGCAGTGGGGGAGACGTACAGCACAACAGGCTGCTCACTTGGCATTTATATACTACAAAACAACAGTGAAGTATTTCAAATGTTTTGCAGCATGCATGCTTCTCCAGGGCTTCATACAGTTAGAGCCTTCCTGTAGCCTTGTTATCAGAGCTGAGAAGAAAATGAGTATTTTTAACTTGAAGTTCCTCAGTCCACTGTAATATTTTGTAAAGCTGCTTTACGTTTTGAAAGACATCTGTAACAAGTTGTGTTTGCATCCGTTGCACTCAGTTTGGACAGTGCAAAGTCAGAGTAAAGCACTCATAGGCAGAAGTGCAGATCAAGGATTTAATAGCAATTACGAGCTATTTATACAGAAGCATAAACATAACTGAGCAGAGAATTACAAGCCTTTGTGATTTCTATTGTGTCTGAACATATTCCCTAGACTCTGCACTAACTTTACATGAGCATAATTAACAGAGTGGAAAAATCTGTAGTTAAGTAATTAATAAGTGGAAAATCAAAAGAATTGTTGAGAACTTCTTGTAGCTGTCAAGCACTGCCATCAATCACATGGACATGCATCAGGTAGATTAGTGCTCTTACTTCTCAATGATCTGTAAGGTACAGAGGGCAATTAATTTGCTCTAGAATTAGTATTTACTAAATGTCAGTAATTAAACTGGTAAGGTATTACTTGGGGTAAGAGTCTGGAAATCTGCATCTAGCAGAACAGCCACTGAAGTAAATTAAAGCAATGCTCAAACGAAGTCACACTAGGCTAGTTTAATTCAGGCTCAGAGTAAAGCACTCACTGCTGCATCAGAAAACACGAGGCTCTGTGCGCCCCAGGGCACCAAGCTGCTGTGACAGCAGCACAGGCACCCAAGGAGGTGTTTAAAGCTTACAGCAATAGTGGAGGTACTTATGCAAAGAAGAACGTTTAGAGAGGGAGCAAAAGCAATAACCCGTGAACTACAGAAAAGGAAAGCAAAGAAAATGAAAGACATAGGATCAAAATATGCTCTTCAGTGAGAGAAAAATCGCTTTGGGAAGCATCATTTAGTTTGCCAATGGTACCTAGTGCAGAATCTCATTCACATCAAGAACGTCCTTACCAAAGGACATCGCATCAAGACGACTTGCCATATGCAGGAGACTGCTAGCAATATACCTAATAATCTCTTATCTCAGTTTTCAGCAGTTGGTATATAAAACGTTTTCTTTGTTGGAATTTTATAGGTTTCTTTGGACCTACTTTGAATAGCTTTATCCATGTGCTCATGTATTCTTATTACGGACTCTCAGTCATCCCTTCCATGCGCAAGTATCTGTGGTGGAAGAAATACCTCACTCAGGCACAACTGGTATGTGTCTCTTTTACTCTCTCATTTTTAACTACCAGAAATCCTTCAAAATGCCAGAAAGGACAAAAATGAATGATAGGTGCATACTGTCATTTGCAGAATTAAGTCAGTTATAATTCAAATAGAATAAAACTATCATGCAGATTAATTCAATAGTATGCCAAGTATAACTTAGTAAAGGAAACGATGCTCAGAAATATTTTCTACTACTGAGTAGAAACTCTACAGTCCATAAAGATCCATTATTTATGACCTCTCAGATAGAAAACGGACACTACTTAGTCATAGTAAATGGACTACTGATTAAAAAGTTATAAAAGCTATCAATTATGTAAGATGTTAAAACTTACACTGCACACTTTCTATATAGCCTTACAGCTTGGAAAACTGTCTCTCATCCAGTGAGGAAAAATCAAAGAGTCAAGAAGTGTAACTGCAGTAGAACTACAAAACGCCAAATGATGTAAACAAACGGTCTGTTAGACAACAAGACAGAAATTGTCTGACTTTGAAAAGTCTGTTCCAGCGGTTACTGTACACAAAGAGCTCAGTCATGTCAAAAGCTTCTACTAATAAGAAAAAGGCTTGATATGACAAAAAACCTCTTTATTTTTGTGTTTTATGGTTTCTTTGTCTTATTTGGGAATTAAAATATTTTCAGCAAGCTCCGAAATGTCCTTGTAGAAATGTAGTTAGAAAGTGTTTCTTCTCTGAGCAGGGCTCATCTCTGCAGTTAAAATACAGTACCCTCTTTGAGATGCACCCCCAGCGTGCTGGATTGAGGGCACCCTCAGCTGCCCAGGGAGAATCAAGTGCAGCAGTGCGGGCTGTGGTTGGAAGTCCAAAATGCTGACACCCTTCTGCAATTCCTTCTACATCTCACTTCTGCTTCATTTGTTCCCACCTTAACTCGTTAAGTGCAAAAGCCAAGCTACCTAAAGTTCTCCTCGGATCTGGGGTTTCCATTTTCTGTTCAGATTTCTAAAGCCACTGTCTTCAGTTTTCAGAGTTTTCTTTAGTTTCTACCCGATAACTTACTAGAGACAATGCTGTACCTGGAACAGCAGAGTTTGGAAGATATTACAACCCCTATTAAAAGAAAAGTACTTTCATTTTGTAAGCTAGGCCTGTAAATTCGTATTTTTAGAAATCTCCAATCTCTTAGTTTTTGTAACACCTCATAAGGCTGCCATTTTAAGTTAACCCTTACAAAACATTCACAGGTTCAGAAGGGACTGTTTTCAAGAATGCCCAAAATTTAAAAGAGTTGGACTAGGTGACATTATTATATCTAACTCAGAAAATTCTTGTGTATGATTATTCATCTACAGATCCAGTTTCTGCTCACTATTGTGCACACACTCAGTGCAGCTGTGAAGCCATGTGGGTTTCCGTTTGGCTGCCTCATGTTCCAGTCCTCCTACATGGCCACATTGGTTATTCTCTTCATAAACTTTTACATTAAGGTAAGCAGTCTTCCAAGATCTTTGTGACAAGGGTGGGGTGGGGAAAAAAAAAAAAAACACTTTTTGCTTAATAGGCTTGATGAACTCAAATAGTGAATGAGTGTCAGTACACAAAATATTGTATTTTTATTTATATATATATGTCAATTAAGAATAACAGATATAGTCATTTCTGCAAGAAATTACTGCATTCAGTAGTTAGGAACCCACATAGGAGCTCAGCTCTGCTATAATGTAATGAATTGCAGTCTTGTATCAGGGCTCAGTTCCACGCTCATAAGTTTGCAAGATATTCATTTTGTTTCAGAGATTTGTTTTTAAGGTGCCTTTAAAATTTTCACCCCAGCAAAAGGATCTTTTCCTCCATCCTTATATTTTTCCTATAAACTAGTTATTTTAAGAATAGAGACAGCACAAAGGAATGGAATATTGATACCACTTCTAGCATTTTCTAGTTTTAGAAATAGTGACAGACAGTAATTTATTTCAAAAACCCTACGTGAAAGGATTAAGACAAGTCAACAGAGACTACGACGTTAGCTCTGATTTTGTTGCAATCGGTATTTAGAGTCTAATAACTTAATAATGATCTAGTGCTAGTGAACAGAAATACCAGGTTAAACTTGCCTGAATTTCTGTTAATTCATGTTTTGTTCTCTCAAACACCTCAGTCAAAACCCAATCTTCAAGACCTCTTTGAGGACTATAGTTTCCTGTGAATCCCAGAAATGTAGTCATATAGATTACTACCAGCTATGCTGGTTAAATGCTTGTATCGATTGTAAAGTCTGGATGGAAAAATAAAGAGAAAAGAGCTTATAATGTTAATATTTCACTATTATAAAGAGGTCTGCAAAGTTTGCTTAGAAAACTTCATTTAAAAAATTTCAAATGTTTGTATTTAGTTGAAACTACATCTAGATATGAAACACATTAGGTGGAATATGCATTTCACAAGTGCAGACCATGTCTACATGGCAAATGTAGAATTACTTTAAATAAATCATAATTTCTTCATACTCATCTTTTTTTCTCAACTGCATCTCAACAAAATGGATTATATAAGCCTTTGACATTTGGATGCATTTTCAAAATTTTTAACACAGAAACAAAACAGTAAATAATATGATGTGTGAGAGACTAAGTCCTTATTCTCTAGTACATCAACTGAAATACAATGATGTGCATGATATTTGGACCTGTTCACTAGGTCAATTAAAATTCTTGAAACAGATGCAACTCAGTCACTGTCTGTTTGTTCTGCTCAGGCTCCTGGATTCCACCCAGCACAGGGGGAACTGAGAACCCTCCAGTAAGCTTTTGGGGAAGGGCTAGTTCATTTGCCCATAGGGTTCTCCATTTGCACGTTGTAGTGTCTGAAGGTTCAAAATGAAAAGATAAATTAAGTCTTACAGTAACACTTTGAGGGAGTAAGAAACTGCAAACAGGACTTGGAAGATGTGGATTTGCTCTAGTAGACAATTTCTTGAGCCGTCCTTCCTCCTTAGAAAACAGAAATAAGCAACTTTCTTTGCATTGTTTACTTCGACCTTTTTTTTTAGCAGGGACTGCTCCAGCCTGCCTGCAGACATACAGCTTCTAGTGAAAAGGGCTTTAAAATCTCTTATGACACCAAGAACTATTACAGTAATACTAGTAAGGTAATATCATCCACAGCAGTGAAACTAATATAGTTCCCTTAAGACAGCCTGAAGCAAATCTATATCTACATCAAATATACACTAGACAGCTCCATATTACAGTTAACCATAAACAGTATTTTGGGGGCACTAAAATCCAAGTTTGCGTTTCGCTTTTGTAGACATACCAGAAAACACCTTCAAGAACAGCTATAAAGGAAACCCCTCTCACAACAGAGATCAAGAACGGTTTCCATAAGGACTACTTCGCTACTGCCAATGGATTCCTGAACAATAAGAAAGCCCAATAAGTATAGTAACTCAATACTACAGTGTAGTATTTCCCCATTTTTTTTCTAAAAAAAGGAAAAAAAAAAGACTGAATTACAAGCTTTAGCTTAAATCCTGTTTTGATTACATTTATCTGTTCTTTGTACCAAACACTAATGTACTGCTATTTAGGTTTTAACAAAAGGAGTAGATTTACTTGCCCTGTCAAAGATCACCATCAGAGCAATAAGGCCAACAAAAATATCATATTTCTCATATGTAAAAGAAAAAATCTTTTATATCTCTAATGCTGACACAAAAAAGCCTTATAGATCCATTGAAACCTTTAGAAGGTTTGGATTCTCTTCAGACTAACAGGCTGAGCATTTTCTCTGCATGTGAGAAGTCTCAGGGCAAGGGTTTGCAACACCCAACAAACTCAGCTAAACTGCAATCAAAGTCAAAAAAGAAGAAACAAAAGGGGGGGGGAAGATATGAGAACCATACTGTTTCCATCACCATACCTCTCTCTGCTGCTTCCCAGGCTGTCCCCAAAGCACTTTGTCTCCCTTCTCCTACCCCTCCCTCAGACACCAGCTGGGTCCAGCCATCCCTGTGTTCCTGCAGGCGCTCTGGGGAGGGATGTAGCAGAGGGCAGAGCCCAGGCGCACAGTCACAGAGTTTGCAGACAGACATGCACCATCTTTGCGTATTGAGATTGACATGCCACTGAGGTTGGTGGGAGCTTCCTACTTCAGGGGGCTGGGACTGGTAGCACCAGTGGACTGCATGATGGGGGATTTAGAGTACACAATATTACACAACGATACGGGTTTTCGAGCTCCAGTCAAAGGCAGGTCACTTTGGATGTGCTAAGTTAATAGGAGTTCTAACTAAACGGCTTTCGGAAGAAACAGGAGCTCAACTGCTTAATGAAGATAAACCCTTTGATCATAAAGGTGCACGAAGGAAAATTAACCTTATAGCAGCACTGCCAACTTGAAGCACGAAATGCCAAATATTAGTACACTAGAAGATGCAGGAAGTCTTAAAAGTGAATTTAACAGTGAGCAAAGTATACTATATAGCAACTTCCATGCTAGGTGGACCTTATTCAGACTGATCTCTGGTAAGACTGGAGAAACAGAAGGGATTTATGTACAGTCTTCTATATGGAAAGCAGAGAGATATTTCCTCACTGCACCTGTAAAGGTGTGTCTCACACACAAAAGTCAATCACTATCTTTGCTGCTTCTGTTAGCTGCATTTACCTTTCACTTAAACAAGCAGCAAAGCAGAATTCCCTAGGATAGCTTTAGGGATCTGCCCCTTGCCCTTTTACTGTTCAGCCCCCTTCAAAGTCTCTACTAAAAGTGAGCAAAACATTTCTTCCTCTCTCTTTTTTGCAACTGAAATAGTTCTAGCCTCTTCCAATCTCAAATATATATACAAACTCTCTTAACAAAAACACTTTCCAGAGTTGCCCCAGCCCAGCAAATCTCACAAACCGAGGTGATTCTGTAAGGGCACTGTGACCTTTCCCTCCTCGTCACCCTGTGGGGTACCGGGGCAGGAAGGGAAGGACACGCGTGCACATAGCCAGCACTGGGGAACGAAGGAGCAGCGTATAGCCAATACGGAGAAGAAGCTGACCCAAGTCCTCTCTCCTCAAATTCTCCTCTGCCTAGCAACTCAGGTGTCCCATCTAGCTGATCTTTTGTCAGGTGGTCTTGGAAGCAACAAGTGTAAGCAGTGCAGATGCAGGGCAGTCAGCCTCACTAGGCACACCAAGTCACTGCAGCTCTTGGGGCCTGTGGGTAGCAAGGAAAGCAGCAGGCTGAGAAAGTGGTACAGTATGGGGGAAGAGCAGATGTTTCTGACCAGCAAAAACAAGAGGAGAAAGCGATAAGGCAGAGGAAAGTGGCCATAAGTCAGCACTTGTTTGGAATTTGTGCTCTACAACCGTGGCTCTCCTCCATTTTGAGCCAATTCCAGTTACTGCGCAGTTACTATGTGAACAAAGCTTTTCTGCTCCAGTAGAAAATTGAAGTCTTCATATAAGCTGCAGCATACACAAAATGTTTAAGCAGCTGGGCTGTTAAACTATGTCATCATAAATTGGGTGACCAAAATAACTGCAATATTCAAGCATAGCATGCCACAAACGTTCGTCTAGCTGCTGCATTTTGCTCTCTCTCCATGCAGCTGACCACAGTGAAAGTCAACATTTTGCTTTCTTTTTAAAAATTTGCTAAGGAGGGAAGACAGCAACCAAAAAACCACAGTAACAAAGCCTGGATTCTGGGTGCTCCTGCTAGTCCTCACTGGTCCTTCCAGAAACCTTGTTTTGAAAGTCTTGCTGGTCAATACTGCAAAACTCACAAATTATAAGCAATCAGCAGGTTTTAGTGAAGGTGCTGCACATGACCCTGAACAAATGGGAGAGCTTCAGAGGCCCCTGTAGATATCAGTTCAGTATGAGACACAACTGTAGAAGTGGTGAAGGCAGAGGGAATCAAAACAACTGACAAGATAGCAGGCAAGGCAGACAGTCAAACTATTCCTCTAAAACAGACAAAAAAAAAAAAAAAAAAAAAAAGATTGCATAGCCAAGCACGGGTTTTAGTCTGAAAGGAGTCCATAACCTTTTGATGGCAAAGCATCCAGTTGACTACCAATTTGGACAACGTCAGCACGCTAAGCGTTAGAGTTTATTATGACACAGAAATTGATTGTCTTTTGTTTTGTTGAAACCTAATTTAAAAAGGAAAAGTTTGCCTTACTTGAAGCTCAAAGGGCTGAAAACAATTCAAGATGCTCTCACCTTGCAGATCCAGATCACCAGGAAGGCTGGAAGCAGGTGTGTTTTAAACTCTTCAAATCTATCTTAACATCTTAAATGCTGCAACTTTGAAGAGAAAGAAGCATTGACTTTTTAAACTGATTTTCCTGTAATACATAACACTGTAAATAAACAATTTTACTACCTGGGGTTTCTTCATTCCCCTTTAAGACATAAAATTTCTGTAAACTGGGTATTTATGACCACTTTTGTTCTGAAATGGTTTTTAAAAGCTCTCAGGACATTCACCTCAGACTGAGAAAAAAATCTCCATAACTTTACGCACCTTCTCCACTCTAACAGTGAGGTAAAGCTCTCTCATGTTTGTAGTACAACTGTTGGCTGTTCTCTGCCCTCCTCATCAGCTTTCCTGATATAGCTACAACAGGTGGCATTTCTGCATCTCTCACTCATGCACACACACGCACCCAGATTAGTGTCTGAAACAGGCCGATAGGGGAAAAATCTTTTTACAGTATGCAGATATGGCATGTTTACACTACCTACTAGAGATATTTCTTCGGTGTACTGACATGCCAGTCCCTTCCAGAGAGTCCTGCTTCTTAACACTGGCTACACAGGGAATATAGGCTTCCAACTTTGTTCCTCTGGGTCGTGGTTCAGATGTGTGAAACAGATGTCATGAAGAGTTCACACCAAAGTTCATCCTTTCCAGCAGAGAAAAAAATGCTTTCAGCCCAGACTTCAATCCAAATGAACCTGTTAAAATTATCCTGTTCACCCCTGCTGCCTCCTTGCTCTCAGCCCCCATCCTTGCTTTGCAGGTTGAGGTTGATGAGCCTTCTTCAATGCATCTATTGTAAGTGGGTCAAAAGAGCAGTCTCGACACTGATAAAGAAAAATTTTCAAATATTTCGTAGGAGGAAGACAATAGCATTTCACTCACCATCTCAGGATAGTTTGATTCCCAGTTTGAAGACCGACCCCATCTTTTTATTCACATTTAATTTCATGCACTTTGTAGCGCTGCACACACAATGCCAAAAAACTTCTTGAGATCTTATTATGTATGACAACATAAGGGCACTGTGAAGAATAATTGGAGCATCACGGTTGAGAAATCACGGAGATACAATTTATGTAACATCAGTTCTCCAGCCAAACATACCTGGCTGGGGAGAGACACACACTGGCTTAGCCGTTATTTGCCAAGGTGTGTGATCCTTTTGGTCAGTACAGACCACCGGTAATGCAGTTTCTTGTGTTTGCTCTTTCTGCTATATGAAGGGTTTGAAATATCTCCTTTGAGAGTCCTACCTGACAAAAATAAGTAAGTAAATCTGCCAGTCAACATCCTCTGATAAGAAGAATGTGAATTTCCAATAACTCCTGCACAGACTTGACAGGTATGAGAGGCTTTAAATCAATAGATATTTGCTGGAAAAAGGCAAGAAGGTAAGTAAGCTTGAATGACTATTTCAACCCAAAACAAAAATCAGCAGGCCCAACAAAAAAGCTGGCCCAGTTCCGTATCTGAATTTCCTTTAGGGCTATAAAAGAAAATATTGAGAGTATCCGGAACTGAAGTGAAAATTTTAGGGTTTCATCCTTTTAACTGAAAATCAGAAAATATATTTCAGGTTTGGAAAAAAAAAAAAAAAACACTTAGCTATTTCTGAAAGACACCATTTCATTTCCATTTGAAGTATGTTTAATAAAATGAAATGAGTGAGATGAAGAACTAGTACCTCAACAATGAAAAAAAGAGAGGCAGGTGTTCATTTTATCCTTTCCCCCAACCCACCAATTTGCAGTTACAGCCCTTACTCAAGAACATGGAAAACAAGCATTCAGTGCGCTCCTCTGTCTGAGCAGACCAGAACCTACAGCTCCCAATTTCCAGGGCAATACTTTTTTGTGAGGTTACATAAATATTACCTGAGCCTGAAAGAGATTACTCCATAGAAAGTTGAAATTGAGAAGCTTGAGAGCAGGCTGTCACAAAATAGTTTATAGACTAGTAGACAGCCATCATCCCAAAAGACGGAAGATAAAGAGGCTTAATTTGTTTTGCCAGAGAAGAGAATGGAAATCAGGTTTCTTTATATGCCACATGAGTGATCTAGGCCTTTTGGACAGCAAGAAAAATAAAAGAATCATACAACATCCTTTCCCCTTGTGAAGGGAATTCAACTGAAAAAATGTTTCTGCACAGAACTACTCAACATCGACTTTCCAGTAGTTTCCAGTCAGTGAAATGCAGAAATAAATGGCGTGCAAAGGAATCCTTAACAGCCAACTCCAGCCACAAAGAAAAATCTAGGAAGCGGTAAGACACCAAAATGGAAATCATTAAGGCAGAGATGCTCCACAACTACAGTGCACACCCACAAATAGGCAGTGATTCTCAGGACCTCTCACAATCAAACCATTTTGATAATGCTTGCAAGCTTCACTAGAGCAGTTCTGAGTGCAGCTGCAAGCCCCTGTCCTGGGTGTTACCATGCAGAGCTGGTGCCTAGTGTCACAGATGAAAAAAGCTGGTGTTATTCTTGGAAAGAGCCAAGTGCTTTAACAACCGATGATCACCAAGAGGATGCAGTCTAATAGCTACTCCTACCAACATATAGACTTACTAGAGGTTCTGGTATGCATTCACAGGGCGCTTAAAGCCACATTCAGAAAGAGTGGCAGACTCCTCATATCTGACTTCTTTGCAGGGCCTGCCAGTTCTTAAATAGTTGTCCCATCCCCTGCCATATTCGTAAACTCTCTGCTTGTGCTGTGTTTAGACACAATTTGCAGGAAGTTCTCCACATCCTGCCACCTGAAAATGAAGTTTGCTAGGTGCAGTCTCACTTGGTAGTGCACTTGGACCACTCCAGCAGAAGAGCGGAAGAGGGAGCACCACGTCCAGCCTGACGGACAGCAGTACAACTGCAGAGCCGTCCGCATTCACTAAAGACTTTGGTTTACACAAAAATACGACCCTTTCATCAACATCACCAAGCTTGTCTCCTGGAAACACTCCAGTCACCTTTATAATTTGCTTTCAGGGCATTGCTTTTCCTGTGTGGATGCGACAAGAACTTTTTGCTCTTAGCAGCTTCTCTGTCCCATACAGCACCCAGATATGAGAAAGTGCTCATACCCACAGCAGGCCAAAAGACTCTCAGGCAAATGACTCCCCTAGTTAGGTGTAAGCATCAGTCAAAGCAGAGATCATAGATAGGAGCACACTTGCAGCACTTTTCACAAGTCACTCACAATCTCTGCAGTGATTTGTTACAAGCATTTTCTTAAATTTCTTTTGTTTGTGAAGTGGGTTAGCAACAAGTACTGACAGGTAGTCCAGCCGAAAGTAAACCAGTCAGTCAAATCAAGTGCACTGTTTTTCCTAAAAACACTTACCTTCAAAGATGTTTAGATACCTGTACAAGGTACACAAGCCTCATCTTTCATCTGAATTCTTTGAAGAAAGTCCAAGTGAACAAAGGTGAAGAGCTATATTCACACACAGAACTTCAAGTCCCATTGGTGCTTTAAGCTTCTTTGAATTACAAATATCAAACGCGAAACAGAAGTCCATCAGCACTTTGTGTCCTTGCACATGAAGGCTGAAACAGCCCAGTATGCACTAGGACAATATTTTAAGATACTTCCATTTTGTTTACCATGAAATATGACCCACACCACAAAATATTTCTGCCAGTGTAGTTGGCTCCATAGTATGATTACCCCTTCAGGCCAGGCAGAAGGACAGCTAGTGCAGAAGTCTTTAGAAAACTACTGTCAGCTGCCAAAACCTGAGGAGGATAGCTCCACAGGTCTAATGGCTAACTAGCCAGCATTGTAAAGAGTCATACTTTTTAGGAACGAGGGCTGTTTTACAACAAGATACTGCCATTTTGGGGGCTTGTTATGTTTATCTAACATTTTTCCACCTCTAGCTGATATGTACTTTCCAAACTTAGATGTGATACCCCCATTGAAATGCCAAATACCCTGCATCCCTTCTGGCTTAACTTTTAACTAGACTATACTATCCAGCTGACTGGCACCTTTTCTATCACAGGGCAATGAAGCTGGGAACTGCTAACTTTCCATACAGAGCCCCGTTACCTGTGAAAAAAATTGTCCTTTAAGTAACGCTAATGTTACAATAACTTGCTTGTTCAAAGCTAGTACTTGTCCATCAGGTCATTCTTTGATTATCAGATTCATCACTTCTTCCCTCAATTTTCTACCAGCAGGTCACAGCTGAAAGCAATCTCAAAAGTGTAATTTATTTCAGAGTCAAAGTTCAAACAGAGGGGAGGTATGCAAACACTAGGCCCTGCTGTTTTAGGCTCACCAGAGGGTACGCATATATGTGGGAGGGAACGGAAGCAAACAGAGTAGAGAAAGTTACTGAGTTTGAGATACTGTGTTTGGATGTTAATAGCCTTCCAGGAAATTACACTTTCGTGCTTTGGGACATGAAGAGAAAGGAAGAAGGTTTGATAAGGTTCTTTCAGGAATACTGAAATTAAAGGAGAGAAATCAGATCGCTGAGGTGTGCTCAGCTTTGCAGAGTTTCTCTAACTGCAAGTACCGCTTTTTTTTAAACTCTTATTCGTGACAAACAAAAGCCAGTCTGTTATGTGTCACCAGGAAAGGCTCTGTATTCTGTTGAGCTGCTACATATGATAGTTCCCAACTGTTGCTAAAAATGCATCTATTTTCCAGGGCACCATTTTAAGAAAGATAACCACTCCTAAAAAAGGTCATATAACCTGCAGAAGCAGGACCTGTCCCAGCTCACACCAATCTGCTTTACTGCCAGCAAAACTGGCTGACCCAAGACCAGGGCAAGCACAAAGGCACAACTCCTCCCCCTTTGCCCATTTCCAGCTACAGAGGACCCCCCACTTTGGTGGCATTGCACAGCCTTCAGGTGGCCTTGTCACTGGATAACGGTAGCTCTCTAAGCATGTGCAGACCATTGCGTTTATACAGAACACGCAGGTAAACAAGTACTTGGCATAGCATCATCATGAAAGAGATACAGCGTAAAGATACCAGGTGATATAACAGACTTCAATATTAAACTGGTTAAAAACTTTTAAAGTATGAAGCATTTATCCTTAACCTGGGCTTCATGTTTCACATTTCCTTCTCTGGGTACTGATGCATTCTTTTCACTTTCAACATTTTAAGCACCCACATCATCTGTTCTGGCTCAGAAGAATACGTTGAAAATTGAGCTTCATCTGTTTACATTGAAAGAAAGAAAAAAAAAAAGAAATTGTGGACAAATAACACACATAAGAGACTCAGAGAGTAGGTAAAGGAAACCTGCTCAGGAAAGATGCCAAAGTCAACCAATTACCTTCTAAAGGGAAATGTCAGCGTAACCCAGTTACAGCACAATATTGCCAGCAAATCAGTTGCAGAAGGCAACTGGACTTTAGACCTTCAGAGAATTTCAGCTCAAATATGTTGAACTAACCCATCAGTACCGGGAGTGATAAAAGGCTGGCTGTCCATAACCTCTCTCACATCCCATCCTATCACTAAAAGCAGCCTTTTGGGGTTCACACTTTTCCAGGACAGTGGTTACAAACATACAGGATATGTGCATGTGAGCACATACAGGATAATGTTTTTTAATTAGAGATACTGATCTCTCCCTAACCCAAGCCTTCTGAAATATTAAACACACTTTCCAAGTTTTGTAGTGACAGGTTATACTAGGATGCAACAATAACAGATGCAGTGTGCATCAGTTTTGTTTCTCCAAATTCTCTGGCAAAGATACTTGGGTGAAAAACGCTCCCAAACTTGTGCCGTCACAGGAGATCCAAAAAAGCATCCTACCAACGCACATGAACAATGGGGAAACATACCAAAAGAGGACTCCCTATATACCTGCTCCACTGCTCTGACAAAATTTAAATGCTTGAGTTGCTTTAACTTAGAGAACGGTAAAACCACCAAGCAACATCTTGGAAATAAAAGACCAACCATTATTGTTAGAACTTTCAAGAAAAAAAGTTTCCCTGAAAATGCAGCCCTAGAAAACATCAGTCAGTGCAGGAACCTCACTCACTGAAGTAAAAACTTTGACCAAGAAGATAAGCCCTTAAACCAGAGAGGGATGCCACGGTCCATGGTTCACCCTCTGTTTCAAACTTTTCCTTTGGTCAAGAAGCTGGTTGGAGATGCAGGCGAGCAAGACAAAACCAACCACAGCAACACCTGCTCTGCTGCAGAGCTGGCATATGACCCAAGGACTCAGGTTATAAACATGGCCTCAGTAGCTTGGCAGAATTTAGTATACAAGAAGAGCTGCTGTGCAGGAAGCTCCCCTCACTGCTTTTGTCTGCTTTACATCAAGCACTTTATTACACCTGGTTACATCTTTCACGCTTGGCCTTTGGGGAGGGGACACGCCCCCCCAAAAAAACCACACACACACACACCCCCCCCGCCATGGGCTGTGTTTTTTCCCAGGAACTTTTGGAAGGCTGGTCCTAGTACTTAGGGCTAGGAGCAATACATGCACAAAGTGCCCCCTTACATTCACTAATGTGGGCTCTAGGTTACACGGGCAAGCAAGAGAGCAGCTCAAGCCCTTACCATGCTCCTAGGTGCAAGGTCTCACACTACAACTCAAGTAACAAAAGCCTCAAATGGTCATCAGCTTTGGACCTGGTACAATATGAAGATATCTTCAAGTCAAATATAAAGAGATGCTCAGATTACCCACACAAATGCCTACTTTGATCAAAGATGTTTCTGATCAGTGATAGTGTAATATCATACCAGCAGGACAGAAAGCATGCTGAAAACTCAGTTACCAGCCTGCAAAAATATAGATGAACACCACTCCTTTATTGTGCGTAAGCAGAATTGTTCACAAATATTAAAGATTCACCTGCAAAAAAAAAAAAAGAAAACCTACAGCTGTGTTGACTGAGCTTAACTAGATTCAAATGGCTAGTGGAAAGACTTCAAGCAGTAATGGGAAGATGCATTATGGTCAGGTCACAAAGGCCAGCCCTCAGAGAAATGAGGGCAGGTTAGTAGATATGAAACTGCAGCTTCAACCTTCCACACATGACTAGCAGAGAGAGCAGACTAGCTCTTCTGGAGCTTTGGGAGAGGCAGAGATGAAGAGGTCTTTCCTTTTTAACCAACCAGGAACCAAAAAGCTTACAAATCCTTGATGTGGATGGAGATGCAGTCTCTGACTTGTGCCAGCTCCAACCAGGGCTACTTAAATTATCAAGGAAAAAGTGTGATCTGCAGAAAGTGATTAAGTCATGACAACAACAGATTTTCTGCTGTTCTTTGTTCTGGCACCACATTGCACTGTCTTTGTGAGCAGAAAGAGTTACAGCTCCCTGAAAGATATTCCGAGGCGAAACAAACACTGGTAAAACTGGACTTTTGTTATGAAAGTACATTGTGTACAGGGAGTGATTCCTTTGATTCCAACCCACACAATATCTTACAAAACAGACCTCAAGTTAAGTGGATAAAAACAGAGAGCTTGGAAACGTGCCATGTTCCCACAAATTCATTAAGATGCACTAACACAGGGTAAGTCTGCCACAGCATTAAAGGTGGTTTGTGAAGAGCAACTATAATGTAGGGAACTCTGTTTTAACAGAGGTTGATACAAAATAGCACTGTTTATCTTCTGTTCATTTGCCAGGGAACTTTAACGCTTATCTAACACTAATCTTGTTCACTGTACTTTGAGCTCTCCTTGAAGCCAACAGCCACCAGTTTCAAAAGCAATTTCTCCAACTTCACTTGCCGTTTTCTCTGTAGTGCTCCAAGTCCCTTGCCCTCCATAACCTTCACTGCAGCTGCCATCAGGCATCCATTTGACACCAAGAGGCTAATATCCAGTAGCTCCCTTTGCTTGTGCTTTGACTTCTGCCATGTAGAAAAGAGTGGCTCAGATTTCAAACCAGCAGTTCCCAGGTTGCATGCACATAACAGTGCCCACCCCAGCAGCACAGCCCAGCCAGGGTACGCAGGACTCGAGGAAGTACCTTTCACGGGCTTGTGATGTATGTCAATTGAAAAAACAAGGAGCTTGTTATCCTATGCGAACAATATTTTACTCACAATCAATCACTTAATGTTTTTACATTTGATAAAGGTGTTAATGGACTAGCCAAGAAAGCCACTATGAATCAATGCATTGGCTAAATCAAGTTTAGTTTTTATGGGGAGGTTTTTGTTGTTTTTGTTTGTTTTTTTTCTTCCCTCCGATATTTAGTAGACCTATCTTGCAATTACCTTACAGGAAAATTCAGCGTGGTCAAAACTAGATCTCTGGCAGCACACTGTTTTGAACAACAAAAAAAGGCTTAATAGCATTTTTCCCCTCATTTTTCTTTCCCTTTAAAATACATTAACATATCCTCCACAGGACCCAAAATTCTTCTCTCAGCACCATAAGACGTTCAAATGCCATTAAGAGCTTTTATGAATTCAGGGGGCTGTTAGTCAGAAGGAACAATGAACACATTGTTTTCTGCTGCCTTCTTCACTGGGTGTTCATACTGTAGGGGAGAAAAAGAGGTAACGTTTCAAAAGTTTGTACAAATGTTTATGTTTTGTAAGAGAAGCAGCTGCAGAGATGCTAGAAACACTTTTAGATTCAGTTTTTAATTCTCAGCTACTGAATCAGGAGCAGGGTGCTGCCGGACAAGCAGCTCCCGTGAGATGATTGCTGCTTCCTCAGCCTTCTACTCCGTAGAGGTGTGTTTCAGCAGTACCTATGGCAAGGTAAAGACCTACATCCCCAAGTGGTCCTGTGCTCATAATACAAACTGTTCCCTATGGAAAGGCTCAGGATTCCAGCTCCAACATATAAGTGAAAGAAGCCTTTGATTTTCAGTATCTTTTCTAAAATTCCAGGCCGGATCTACACGTCTGCAGTGACTGCAGACACGGTTGCTCCTTTGACACAGGTCTTCGTGCAGCACAGACATGTGACACATCACAAATCATGGTAACCCACTGGTCTTATTGTAGGACTACCGTGGCACCCAAACACCATCAGGTCTGTGTATAAAAGCTGGAAGAGCAGCAGTAGCAAAAATACATGTGCATGTACGTGTATTAGAGTGGAGAAGATAGAAACGAAACATTTCGCCAAACTCAGTTAACAGGGTATTCAGTTTAGCCTATTGATTAAATGACTAAGGCACAAGCTAGTGATTAGACAGAAGAGTTTAAGAGCTTATACAGAATATTTAACTGGGGTCCAAGGCAAATGAATAAATTCAACATCTAATAATAAATTCAGTTTCTACTATTACAATGGGAATTCAGTTTTTGCTGTAGAATTTTTCATGCATGTAAAATGTATGATTTGATGCTTTGATTTCTTCTAGATTTTAAAAATCAAAGCAGAGAGCATCAATCAAAGCTAGAAGAAGACAGATCCAAAAAGCAAGCTAGACAAAGCATCCAACGTGCTGTTAAATCATGGAGTTCCTAGCTGCAAGTTGCTGTGGATGCATAGACCTCCAAGGGAAAAATGAACAAAGTGACAAGAGAACTGCATTGAGGGTCACTACCTACACAAAAACCAGCCTTTAGATGAGGAAACCCCTGAGATATGAACTCAGGAAGTGATGGGAGAGTTATTAGGAGAAGCATTACTAAATGATGGTTCTCATTCTTATCTTCTCCTTAAGGCATCTACTTTTTCACAACTTTCCCTGATGGTTCCCTGATTAATCCCATTTCTAAAAATACTAGAGAACCTTCCCGGTGGAAGTTGGTGCTAAATAGAAAAGAGCCAGCAAGAAAACAAAAAGTTATAGAGGACAACAAAAAGGGGATGAAAAGGGAGGGCCAAAGAACCCACAGGAGCACAAAGCAAAGCCCCAGCAGCTGTTCCCAAAGGCAGCAGACACTGCCCAGGCAGAGCTCTGTTCCTCAAAATTACAGGAAAAGAAGAGAAACAGCAGTTCCCACAGTAGCTGGGGTCTGCCACCCCCCATCAACCCCCTCCACCTGGTGCCATGTACGGCCAGTTTGGCCAGAGGAGCTGATGAAGTCCCACAGCTTGGCAGCATCTCAGATGAGGAGGGTATAAATACAGAGGTATGAGGAAAAGTACAGCCAGGGTCTTAGTGACAAGTTCTGGAAAAGCTGGCTAAAGGGCTGCAGCCTGACACGCTCAGTGCATTTGTGCATCAGCAGTTGCTGCAGAAGGGGATCTGTCTGGGAGCCTGGGAACAGGACCATGAACACACCACAACCCCTACACCATGGAGGGTTTCCAGCTCATGCTGCTGTGGAGTCATGGAAAGATGGAGGAGAGAGAAAGCGGAAGGGCCAAGCTGCTCCTTTCACTCCACCCTGAACAGGGGGAGGAAAGGATGGTGACTCCACCACAGCCTGGGGCTGGTTTCAGAACAAATCCCATTTTCTTGATGCATCAAGACAAGAGGGTCTCACAAGGAACTGGCTGACAGATCAGGCAATGATGCAAAATGCTGCAGCAGCGCAGAAAGCCCATTGTGGTTATATTCTATCTGGCAGCAACGGACCTTAGCCAGCCGGTGAAAGAGTTCCCCTCCCCAGACTTCAGTTACTATCTTCTCACTTTCAATACTTATCAATCACATCACAGCTCAGAAAGGCCACCCAAAGCTGCTAGCGTACTACACATACCGTGGTATTCTGGATAGTTTCAACAAAACTCTTTGCTGTTTCACCCAGGGCTGAATCAACAGACTGAATTCTGGAAGAAAGGTAAGTTTAGCTAAGTTTCCTTCAGAGGATTAATACTTACTGATGAAAGTTAAGCAAATTGAGAGATTTGCCAAAAAAAAAAAAAAAAAAGCCTGAAGCCCTTTTTGCAACTCAGCTACTTTTTGCCCAGCATTTATGCCAACAGTATCTTTTCTATAAGAAGGGATCTATTCACCTCCTCCCCTAAAACATATAGATGTGACCAGAGGATGCATCTTGCTCCAGATCATGGTACAGGTCTCAAGGTACATAGCCATTCTGCACAACTTCCCACAAAGTCCCTCATTGCTTCCTAGTCCCAATTCAAAACCCTAATGAGGCTGCAAAGGCTTCGTTAATGAACACAGAGTAGAGATGCCACATTGGCATCAGAATACTTCAAGTATTCTTCAAGTACTCTTCCTGAAGTAATACTTCACATATACAAGTATGAGTACAATTAGTACAATTAATGCCCTATTTTACCATTATCTAATTTGTCAGGATGCAAGAAAGCTGGCAGATACATACCTTTGCTTTTGCTGGTTGCAGAAAGAATTCAGTTTGACGGCCTGTGCATTCCAGAAGTCCTAAAAAGAGGTCCCCAAAAATACTACCATTACTTCAGAAGTATCATTACTACCATTACTTCCATGGACGATCACAAGAGAAGTAATACACACCACTGCATCCTTCTCCAGATTGGCTAAGACTTGAGTTTCCTTCTCCAGACTGGCAAGCTCTTCAACAACAATCTTTTGGAAGGTTTCCAGCTTATTTAGCCTAATGATGAAAAACAGAAACAAGTTTGACGTTTTCAGATGCAATAGCACAAGGCAGCTGACAACCCTGCATTCTGCTTTCAGTACCAAACCTGCCTTTAGAGGGAAGCAAACATCTTTGTTGAACTAAATTGGCAAGTTTTGTTCTCAAGTATTTCACAGAGTGTAAGAACAGCTGTAACAAATGGAAGGTGTATTTAGCTAAATATCCTCTCTCAATGAGCAGCCAGTGACCAAGATCTAGGACAGAGCACAGGAAGAGGGTTCACTTTGCAATATGTGCCCTGCACGCTCTCCCAGCCTTCAGTGATTTCTGCAGAGAGATTCCCCAAGCTGAAGACAGCATCTTAGCACAAATAACTTCTGATGGGTTTTTCTTCCATGACTTTAATATGCAAATAGAGTGTTGGTACAGAGTATTAGTAATTTCTATAGCTTAACCAGCAATATCCTTATTGGTTTGGGTTTTGTCACCTTTCACCGGGCAGTGGGATGTTGAGCAATTATTTGGTCGTGACTTCACAAACTCCCCTTCAGATGGCAGGGGAGAACAATTTGGCCCAGTTCTGCCCTCTGCCTCCCACAGCTCTGACTGGCTAAAAGTTACCACCCATTAATACCAATAAAGCACGGCAGCAGCTCTCCACTATCAGCTCTCATCTTCCACCCCAGAAGACTTCCCCAATTTGTTTTTGAAGTATATAAGCTGCTGCATGTACTTTGCTTGTCGCTGAAGTTCTGCTCATGGGTATTCTTTTGGTACTAGGAATTTTGCATTTTAAAGATTATTACTTCATACCATGTATAATCTAATCCCACAAACCAAATGTGTAGTAGATGAGGAGGCCTGATAGACTTACAGCCAAAGCTTGAGATATCAGTATTTTGCTTAAAACAAATCGATAACTATTATAATTGATTTTTTTTTTTATTTAGCTCCTATCAGAGAAATCAAACAACTCGTAAAGCAAGAGGATCTATTAAAGGAAGACATCCCACTAGATCAGTGCCTATAAAGTCCACCAGCTGACATTTCTTTAATGCACATGAAAACAATCTATAGAAATGGGTCCCTAACAAAGCTTGAATCATCAGCAACACCACTTACGTTTCTTTCCTTTTTCCCCCACTTCATCAAGTAAACTAGCACGTGATTTCTTTTTTTATGCTCTAAAATACATAGTAACAGAAACTACTAAGTATAGAGTATATATTTAAACAGAATTGGGAACACTGGTGACTGTCAGAAGACAGTCTAAGGACTGCTTCATCATCCACTCAACTCAAGCTTACTTTGCACTAATATATCCCTCCTCCCCTTGCAGGAAAAGCAGGATAAGTCACAGGAGCAATGCTTCTAAGACTCTTACTACGGAAAGGGAAAAGAGTGCACAGAGGCTATTTTGCCTTAGAGACCATGATAAACGCAGTAACTTACTGTCGAGTTCTATCACGAAAAGGCATTTCTTTCTCACGTCATTCAGAGACTTAGGTGAAGCTGAAGGTTTGTTTTCAGCAAACAGGGATAGCTTACCTGCACTCATGTATCTGATTCAATAAGGCTGAGACGTTCTTCTCAGAGGTCCTCAGCGCGTTCTGCGCACAAGTCTCCATCCTTTTATACCTGGACTAACCACAGTATGTGTTGTCAAGGAAGAGCAACAGCCCAAACTAAAAACTAAAAATCTTGTTTGCAAAGCATTTCCCTAGAACAAACACTCCATGGGCTGCCTCTCAGTTTAACTGAAACTGGTTTAAGTCAAATTTAAACTTAAGCAACGTGTTCGGCCACATTAGTTACAACAACCAGATCTTTACGCAGCCTATGTGACCTCAGGTCAGGGCTAAGTTATCCCGACCAGCAAAGAAATGAGCTTCACCTATACTCCGACACGTTGTTATTGGCTGCACAAAACCAGGTCTTTGTTAGCACCAGTTCAGATCAGTATTAAAGCAAACCGTGTTCACTTTAATCGTAACTGATTTACATTGTAAAGGCAACCGTTTCCAGCTGTGAGTCAAGGATTAAAGCCAAATTTACTGTGAAAATCTAATACCAACTGAAAAAGAAAAAAAACAAACAAAAAACCATGCACTGCTGATCCAGTACAAATCTGCTCTGCCAGGTCTCCTCTTAGGTCCCCAGTTTAAGTACGCTATCACTCTGTGCTGGATTATATTTCAAAAAGCTTTGATCCGTTCCCTCCGACGAAAGTATTTGAAATACGTAAACAAATCTGAATTTCCAACATATAAATAAGATCCCCTAACAAAACGGAAAAACCTAATTAAAAATTCACTTAGAAGTCATTCTTTGCCTTTCCTATAACACTTCGGAGAACATATAGGTTTTGCAAAATACCTAGAAGAGCTGCAGGCTGCAGACAGCGCAGCCAAAACTCTGTTGTTGGGCATAAAATATAGATGGAATATTTACACTAACTTCCCCTGCTGATTAAATAATAATTTCATTTAGTGTGAGAAAATGGCACACACCAAATACACGAAGAGTGCACATTACCCAGAACAGTTTCTTTAGTTGGCTGGTAAAGCTTTCAAATGCAGTAATAACCCCTGAATCACTGACATCTTCACTCAGTATCTTGGAAAAAAACGCGTCATCCATTTCAACCATTTTCTGGCCTATAAGAAAGTATAACCCCAGTTAGTACCTTGCTGAGAACTCATTAAAAAATAAATACACATACTATTATTGCAAGATGTAAAAACAGGAACATTTGCTAAAGAGCCAGAATTTAAGGATTGCTCTTCTAGAATTCTCAGGAATAGGAATGAAACTGCCCCAAAAGACTTGTTAGAAAGCAGCATGGAAGAACAGACATGACATGAACCAAACATCAAGAGCAATATACTTACAAATAATGATGCATGTGTGTGTGCACACACACGCACATAGACAAATCAGGCTAAATTTTCACTTATTTTTTCTCCCTCTGTCGTCTAGTTATTCAGTGTGATGCAAGTCTAACCCCCTTTCATTCTGAAGCGACAGTGTTTTGTAGTTCCTTTGTCCATTATTTACAAACTTTTTCTTTGATAGCTCCAGACAATCGCTGTTCAGAAAGACTAGAAAGTGCTACCATCACCTAGCAGTTTCCCGAGCGCATCTTGTGATTAAGGAGCCCGAATTTCCTTTTTCACATCCTTAAAGCGCATTGCTTTCAACAACAGCACCACACAAGATGGCACGTTTGGGTTTTTGGAGACAATGCCCTGCAGAGGATATCTGCTTTCAACCTTCCACATGACTACGATTTTTATCGCCAGAAAAAAAAAAAATGCATGAAGATATTTAAGTACTTCACCTTAATTGCCAGCCTAGCTTACCTGTTTCAGTCTCCTTTTCCTTCTCTGTTGAATCAAAAAGTCTCCTTGGTTTATAAGAAGAGTCAGAAGACAAGTGACTTGTTTCCCAACTGGAAAGTTTAGGCCTCTTCAAGACAGTGCCAGCTAAAATATCTAAAAGGAGAAAAGAGGTTTCAGAATACATCTGATTTGGGGGGGTGTTTTGTTTTTCAGTTCCCCCCCCCCTTCTCCCATGAGGTCTTACCCACCAGCTCCCTCAAGCAAAAACCACCATGGAGCTGCCAGTATTGCAGAAGAGCAGGCAACTTCATTTGAGGGGCCAGCAACACATTTTAACAGGAAAGGACACAAGACTTCACCAGCAAGTCTCCTCCTTTGCAAGGGCAGGCCACTGCACTGCCTCGTGCTGCGCAGATAGCTGGAAAGCCACCATACCTCCAACTTAAATACAATTTGATCCTTGGCCCACTCTTCCCACCAGAAAACCATTATCTGGCTTCTTCCCGCCGTGTTTCCAGCCCCAAGCTTTACCATCTGTCTCTGCCCATTTGTTTCCGAGCTACTTTCAGCTATATAACACAACATTTTTGCATAAATTCATCAGAGGGAGAAAAACTAATCATCCTTAATGGCTTTCTTTTTTCCCCATCTTCACCAACTTTACCACACAGTTGTGTTTTAACCCAGCCACATCCATGTCTCCTTCTGTGTCTGGAATCCTTACCTGACAGATTTTGAAGATTTTTGTACTTCCCCGGATTTCCCAGCCACCAGACACCACATAAAAGCCAGCTGTGTAGGGCACGCACAGCAATGCAGATGCTCAAGTGCAGGCCCACAGTCTCATGTTTTCAATGTCTTGTGAGTGACTTCACTCACTCCTCATGCTCTCCTCAGCACCTCTTCCAACCTGACTTCACCCTTTTTGACTATGGGGAGCCAAATCAAACCACGTTTTGGTCAGGGCACCAAAGATAGGTGGAAGGAAACAGTCCTCCTGCCCAGTGTATATAAGCTGCCTGCAGCGCGTGCGCTGAGGTTTGAGGAGCTGTCAGCATGCCCCAGCCTGTCTGGGTACAAACAACAAGGGGCAGGTAGTGCCCAGCTCACCATCAAAAAATTCACCTTCTTCAGGAACATTGAGCAGGAGGTAGCAGGCCATATTTAAAGAAAACTTCCCCCCCCCCCAAAAGAAAAAAAACACACACACTCCCTTGTGTCTCGCTGTCCACTTGCAAGAGTTCAGCAAGTGGGCTGTGTTTGAACAGCTGCCCCTAGGAGTCTGCAGAAGGCAAGACACAGGGAGGTAGTGGAGCTCGGGACACGGAGGGACAGTTGGACTGCAAGCAGCATGCTGAAGTGGCATTTGAGGAAGCTTGTAGATTTAGGGTTCATGGACTAAATATTCAAATGCAGTCATTATCTGCACCTGAAACTCCTGAACAGCACCTTACTTCTGTACTCATATAGTATCAACTCCTCTCCAACTGTAATGCTGCACAGCATATAGTGATAAACCTAAAATCATAGCGTTTTTCTTCCCCAAAATTAAGCTAACACATTGGTACCTTGAAGCTATCTTGATGGATAAGAGACCTGTATCTGGAACATGAACGTAGCTACCTCACGAAAAAGGGAATGCTTTTGGCTGGGCCCAAAGCTTTAGTAACTCAACGCACAGACACAACAACAACTTGAAAACAATCTTTCTCTGAACTAGATCAGCAGCAACAACATGAGCGTGAACACAACGCACAAGCAGCCCGTTGCTGCTTAACTTCCATGAAGTTCAGTTGTTCCCAATCACAAAAAGACTGCACTGCAGTTCTGAGTTAGTTTATGCAGACGCATTTTTCATTAAAAAAAGAAACAAGAATACACCTACACTGTTAAAGGCCACCATTACTTCAAAAACCTACAATAATCAAAAGCACCTGTACACGTTGCCATCTCTATATTCTCAGATATAGAGGCAGCCTCTTTCAAAACTTCTTTATATTTAAGCCTCACCGCACTTTCAAGTCATTAAGAATTAGTCTGGGGGTTTCTTCTTTTACCCATTTCACATGTTTAACTCTTAGAGCCACTAGTTTGTAAAATCCCACCTCTCGATAGCTACATCCTCTGTCCCTCTGATCAAGGCCAGGGTTTAAGACTGTTAGCAATGAATTCAAGAAGGTATACAGAAACATCGTACCACATATACTGCCATAATATATAAAACAGAAAAAAGGAAGTTTTTTCTTGTGTAAAAATATCCTTAAGCATCTCAGAAAGCTCAGTGCCAGCTCGTCTTTGAAAGAAAACAGCTTGGCCAACATCCTTTTCTGCCTTTTTAACGTCTCTTCCACGTTACTGAGACTAACGTACCTGAGTCCTTCCGCTTAAACAGTTGTTCTTCTCTCAACAATTTGTCAGATGCATCAGGAAACTTCTAAGGAGAGAGAAGAGAAAATAAATAAATAAATAAGAGAGAGGTAACCATTTGACAGCTCATGTGCAGCATAAGTAAACACAATGCACTGCTTCTGATTTTCACATGAGAAGTAGCCTGGCCACAGATCAAAAAACATTTGAAGTACTGCATATTGCACCTGTGTTGGCTTCTCTTCAGTGTTGGAATAGTCCTCAGCAGAAGCATTAAATGATGCCAGATCCCCTTCCAGCTCCGAGTGCATTTCATCTGCGTGAGAGATCAGCCAAACCATGCAGGCAATTGATTTTGAACCCTGTATTGACCAAAACACTAAAACATTGAGTTTAACTAAATATCAAGAAGAGGGGAAGAAAAAAGGAAGAGAAAAAGAAAAAGAAGGAAACAAACACCATCTTTTCTATCTTTCCACATGTACAAAGGGAAGAGACAGTGTCTCAAACTCAATCCAAAGGCTGTTTTATTTCTGGCTTCCCTTTAAGATCATTCCTTCACCTCCCATTGAGGCTGCAGGACTTAAGTCTGCAACACTGTATTTAATGTCACCTTATTCCAGCACAGATATTCTCAGGAGAAAGAAGTGGGAGCAGAAAAAAATTGACCTTTACAATACACTTCACAGTAGAATAACATCCAGGAAGTCAATAGCAAAAAATAAACAACCATCTCAGTGTAAAAACCCACACACCAGACCAAGAAGATAGGCCACTTAAGTGTTGGTGGAATATTTTTGTGAGTTACAAGCTTTTCCTAACCAAGTTACACTGCAATCCCCAGCCCAGAGGTTGAAATATCATAATGTATTGGGACATACTATATCCCTTAACATCACTCACAGCAGGTTTGTGTAGCTTCACACTGGCTGAGGAAGCACAGATAGTACTGTGGAAGTTTGTAATAGTGTAAATACTATATGCATTCTCGCTCACACTGCAGCTTTAGATATACTATAAAAAAATTGACTATTAAAATCACAGAAAAGGAGAGAAAAACACTTTCAACCAAGTTCATCCAAAGCACGGTCTGCATCTGTATCAGTAACCGCTTTACAACATAAAAGAAGAAAACTCCAGTTTCTAGGCATCCCACACATTAATATCTACAGCTTCTCCCCTGCCTTTTAAGATACTAACCATAATGCTCTGGGGAATCTTTTTTCCCCCCCTCCTCCAAGGCACAAAAAATAGAGGTTTAGGTGCAGATAACAGATTAGCCTCAATGAAGAGGGTAGCGTGACTGCAAACAGAAGGAAGCCCCCCAAGGAAGGGCACCGACGAGCCGCCCTTCCCCACGAAGCTACATGATTTAGGCACTAGATTGCACAGCCCTCGTCCCCCAACTAACACTCCTTCTCTTCAGGGGGCTTTACCACAAACTTTACCCAACTTTATAGCCATTACAAGAGCTATCACATAGCAGAACATTTACAAACAAGGCGTGATGGAAAAAGGCAAAATTTGAGCAAAAAACCCACCAAAACAACTTTTCTAATACTTGAACAAGAATCAAAGAGAAATACCAGGAACTTCCACAGTAGGTAAATCATCTGTCTTGGCATTGGATGTGCCTTTTTTCTTTAACTTTTCCTTCTGAGTGCTTGGCCTTGAAACTCCCAACTAAAAAAATAATAATAAAAAAACCACTTTCAAGTGTGAATTTTATTTAAGTATTTTTTATTTAAGCATATTTTAAGCATTTAACTAAAATGCTGACACTTTTTGAAATATGCCTAACATACTGATGGGCTCTCTCCAATGCTGAAGGAGATTTCTTCCCTGAAATTAGATGGTTACCAAAATATTCTCTTTAATCAGTAGAATTACACAGTGGATGAAATTCTTCGTAAGCAAAATCACAGCATTTTAGTCAAGAAAGAAAAGAAAAGGCTTTTGGGGAAAGAAGTGCTTAGTACAGCTGCCAGCTCTACAGTGATTTTCCAAACTTTCTGTATTCACGTGGAAAACACTTTATGGCATTCAACATACAGCGCTTACTAGCTGGGCACTGGGAAAGTTTGGCATTGTTAAACTATATTTTCCTTTGCTTGGTGTATGGTCCACATATCATTTCTCCTCCCCCCAGTATAATTCATGGTTAGTTTTCTGGAAGTGGAGAAGTTCAGAGCATGAGCCAGGGGGACACACGGGACTTGGACAACACAGACCTGAAAATTGCCACCAGGACATACAGGGAAGAACAGGAGGTTTCTCAAGGCACTGGCTAGCAGGACTGGCCCAGAGGAGAGCGTAGAGACATAGCACGGTAGGACCCAACTAGGATTTTTATAGGTATTTGAATAGGCTGCTCTAACTCTTTGGCATGTATCTAGAGCCAAACTTGTTACCATTGTAATTACGTTCACATTACCTAAAGCAGAAGTCACACCAGACATGCCAGTTCCTGCCCAATATGTCACACAGAAACATAATAATAGTTTAAGAATAATTTGTGTAGAGCTCACGTATGGTTGTTTCTATAAAATTCCCCATCTTCTGCTAAGATCTCCTTATTTCTCCAACCTCTAGAGGACCAGTACATTCTCAGAAACATTTAGTTGGTTAAAACATTTGAGAAGAAAGATAACACCAATTTATTTAATTTCAATTAAGTTGTACATGTGTTTTGCATATGCAATGCTTTGAATTCTAAAGCACAGTAAACATTACAGGTCCTTACTTTCTTTGTCTGGTAATCACTGCCACTACTTGCAGAAGACACTGGAAGCACTGCAAGGAGAAAAGTTTTCCTGGTTACTGACAACGTAATTGTGTGTCTTTTCCACTTAGAAGTTTGCACCATGGCTAAGAGTAACTTAATTTTAAATTGGATTTTCTGTGCATTTACAAGAATAAACTTCACAACATTTGTGCAGAGCTCCAACAATTCATTCTTACAAAGCTCCCAAGTGGTGCAGAACTGAGCAATACTTAGACTCACTGCATCCAAAGCAGGTCCCCCAAAAAATGCAAGTATGGCAAGCTCATTTTGATAGTGCCTAAGCCTCAGCTGGGAAGCGTGGGCTGACACAGGAGCAAAAGCAAACTCTTGCAGAACGTGTCCACTTCTGGGCTCCCCAGTACCAATTCATTCTTACAAAGCTCCCAAGTGGTGCAGAACTGAGCAATACTTAGACTCACTGCATCCAAAGCAGGTCCCCCAAAAAATGCAAGTATGGCAAGCTCATTTTGATAGTGCCTAAGCCTCAGCTGGGAAGCGTGGGCTGACACAGGAGCAAAAGCAAACTCTTGCAGAACGTGTCCACTTCTGGGCTCCCCAGTACAAGAGAGACATGGCACCACTGGAGAGAGTCCAGCGGAGGGCTACAAAGATGATGAGGGGACTGGAGCATCTCTCCTATGAGGAAAGGCTGTCAAATTCAGAGGCCCCGGCAGCTGCAGAGCACAGCCGTCGGGGAGGTTCGCTGCCTGCTGGCTCTGAGCAAGGGATGCTCTCGCGCTTTACCGCAGCTGAGTTTTCAGACCGCTGGCAGGATGAGCATCTGTCGGAGCATAAAAGGGAAGTGGGCAGCCTTGGTCTGTGCATTGAGCAGCTGCTGAAGACGTATTTGCCGTGCCAGCTAGGTTTCAGGAGGGATGAGAAAGTGAAGGGAGGTGGCTGTGGCTCGGCCCATCCCACTGGGATTGGGGATCCCCCAACCCTCCTCCTCGAGCCACACAAAACCCATCAGCAGCTATTTCTTTATCTGCCCTGTCACCCTCTCATCACACAGTATGTTGCGCACAGCAAAGCGCTAACAGCAGACTAAACCTACCTTTTAGTTTACTTCTGACCCTGGGCCTTTTTCGGGTGTAATCAAGAGATCTTGGCAACGATCTTTTCTGAGAGTCAAGGATCCAGCTTTTCTCACTTGGACCAGTGCTTGCATTTTCACTGTTACTTTCAGAGAAAAGATGTTTCCTGTAATCAGACTAAAGACACTATTAGCAGTGAGCCCTGCTCAGTCAGTTGGCTCCCACCTTCCACCCAGGAAGCCCCCCAGCCCTTTCCCCTTGTTTACTAGCAAATTATCCCCTTTCTTCCTCCCCACAGTGCAATACCTAAAGTATTTTAAGCTGCAAAACCTGCCAAAACAGCAACTAAACTGTTAACTGTCAAATCAGCAGCGTAAAAAACAGTAAGAGATGGGCACCTGCCCTTTGCCAGTGGGATGTTTAATGTCTTCCTTCCTCATGTCCCCCTCCCTTCTGCTCTGGATTAAAGAGCTTTCAGCAGGGGTTGGGGCGGGGGGGTAAGGAGAGGGGAGCGGGAGGGGAAAAAAAA